GTTCGTTGACAAGTGTATTGATATATATATATATATATATATATATATACCAATATACCAATTATTAATAAGACGTTGTGAGCTAAATTGTCTTGATCAATCGTTTTGCTATAGCTGGTACCTAGATATTTATTTTTATTCGTATTATTATTAAGCGTAAACTATTCAATGTTAATCCAACTATACTCGTAAGGGTGTAGGAACACCCGAGCTCATTCGTGTATAACTGGCCCAAATAAGTAATACAATAATGTTTTTCTTTAATAATTTATAATAAAACATGCAACAATTGTTTTTTTTAATGCGTAAAAAATAATTTTTGTAAGATGAATTCACGCTCCCCCCTTAAACCCTTTTATAAAGTGCCTCGATGAAGGGGACCGTTGAAAATTTCACTCGTATTCAAATTTTGAAACTCGCTATTGACCATAATAATATATAATATTATGTATAAATATAGACTATAGTTTAACGTGTTATTTAGCTAACCTGACTAAAATTTGTATATCGAAAATGTGTTGTTTAGTGTAAAATCAGCTATACTCGTATGTTACAATGTAACAATATTTAACGATTATGATAATATGAAAATAAAAATCAGTTTTAAATATAAGTATTTTAATAATATTATCATGCTAGCGCATTTATTGTCATTAATTTTCGTCTACGATATTAAAAAATTAGTAACAAAAGCCAATTAAATATCCCTTACTATAAAAAACTTCAAACTTGCATACCTATATACGTATACGAATTATGTTTATCAATCAGTATACCATTCTACAATCGTCTGTAAATGCCAATTTAAAATTGGGTTTCTCCGTTGATTGTATACCATAGTTTTTAATTTTTTATTGAAGTTTAACCTTATAATATTCCATAATTTTCGTCGCAAAATATTTTTTTAAATCTACCCATTGTATCAGTTATATATATATATATATAGGTGAAAATTTAACTAACAAGTACATAATATCATGTATACCTTTATTGTATTTTAACACATTATGCACAATGACACGTGTACGCGGAAAATTTTTGTCCACACAATAATGGTATATTAAAAACATATAAATAAACATCGATTTTGCGTAATCATACATCACTGGTTACCCTCCCTCCTTTCTGTATAATACGAGTATATATTTCATTGTGTCCGTTTGAAATTTTTACCCAAATTGTTGGCGTGACAAATAATAAATGGCTGCGTTCCGCACCGTTCGCATTGGTTAGTCCGTTCATTATGTCGTTATCCGGACGCTATTGGACAAACATCGCGTAAACAGTAAAATAGATCGAATTTGATGGGTATGATGGGCTCGCATAGTGTACTAACAATAATAATATTTGCGTTAATTTTGTTAAGATGATGAAAGACGATGAAAGAAAATCTACCTTTACAAGCGGATATAACGATATATGATATTTCAATGTATTGATATTATTTATATTGCGTTTTAATATTTTCGTGCGTACGTTTTACGCAGTGACGTAGACGTTGTTTTAGCGGGGTTATACTATTAAAATGTGAACAAATATGGACAAAAGGTTAGGTACTTTGAGGAAGTACGAAGTCCATGAAACACAGTTTTTAGAAATGTTAATCTATGATATTCGGGTTTATCGTGATTTACTTTTAAAAATGAACGGGTAAGATTTTATATAATTATTTTAAAAGGTAATCAGAATCTTTTCTATCAATCCGAACGGTTTTACCTTTTATCCAATTACGTCCCTACTAAATAAAGTTATGATAGGTGTGTAGTCTGTGCCGTCGGTGGAATTTCTAGATTTTTGCACTGAATCTCGTAATTCCTAAATAATGACATTTAATTAATTTACCTCCCCTCACACCGTCATAGTTTTATACGTGTTGTACGATAATATAAGCATGCGAAAAAAAACTATGGAGACAAATATTTTTTATAACATTTCGAGAATGACGGTTACGTACTGGTTCAGTAATAGTAATCGAGAACACGGCGATTACAAAACAATTTCGATCTCGTCGAATAATAATCAACCGCTGTATTATATAGGTGCATGTAGCATTGGTTATACGCTTATAAGTTATAACTGTGCATGTGTTTGTATTATACGTATAGGTACTAACAAAACATGAAATTTGTTTCAAATGATAACGTCTCGTTTTTCGTGACTTCGATACAGAACAGTCTATTGTATGTGACGAATAGTTTTTATACAAACCATGGAATTTAATTTCGAAAAATGTAGTTAATTTTCATTTTTTGGCACTTAATTTAGCCCACGAGCAATTATAATTTATGGGGTTTTTTATATGTATAATAAATCAAATTACTTAATTTATAAAAATTTATTTTTCTTTGGTTATTATCAATTATATATAATACTCCAGACTCTAGTCATATACTGGAGCTTAGGGTCGGATAGGTAATGTATAATATTACAGTTAACGTTTTTCGAAATCATGTTGAGTGATAATAAATTGAGTAAATATAAACAAACATTTAGTACATTTGGACGTTTAATGCGGTAAATATTTATTATTTGGACTTGAAGAATAATAATTTATTATTATGTCCTTGGCGCGTTATTACTGTTATTCTAATTATGCCCATATATGTGTCATGTAGAAAATATCAATATTATATAGATTTAAAAACCCACCTAATAACATTTGTATATACTATGCGTACACATGAGCATGTTATTGCTTTATTTTTTCATACTTCATATAGGTATATTCCAATTTATGATACACGCGGTAGCAACGATATTGCACCCATGTGGAGTGCGGGGATAGTATTATTATTATTTAGAACAAATGCAAACGCTTTGTCTACGGGTATTTATGCAATATTAATGAGATGCCAATAATATACGTACCTACTTATAATAACAGCCTGTGCGGCAGTATAGAAAATAATAATGAAATAATTTGACACGCTTAACAATGGTAGAGGTTAATTTAACTGATAAGAAAGTAGTTTTCGGTATAGACCGCGTGGTAAAATATATAAGAGGCCCCATCGATAATAGGACGTTAGGTAGTTATATATAACATATATCAATATATATGTATACACACTACGTAAATTATAATACACATATTGGCTGTATAGTACTCGTATATAAAATATATTATCGGTTTTTAATAGAACGTTATTCAGTGGTATAGGTACAACGTACGTTGTTACTCGTATAATATTATTATCCCCAATGTTGTTATATAAGCTAAATTATTGCACGTGACTCATAATTTTTTTAAACATTAAATCACGCTTAACAATGCGTCTGTAATTATTAGAAGCATTTCGAAACTTACTCATATATACATATATATTGTATACCTAAATATTATATGTATACTTATTTATATCTGGTGTACATGCCGATTGATCTATAACTGATCGAATTCAAGAATTGTATTTAAACAATAAAAAGTTATCAGAAACGAGTACAGGTAATGAAGAAATCGTTTTACGTCAACTCGTGAGTTCTGACGTGTCCGCTGTTATTCCAGCGTACCATAACCTACCATGATAATATTAAGTACCTATGTGTCTGTTTATCGTTACACTTTTAATTGTTAGGTTGTTTTTTACGTCGACGACATTAACTTATCAATAGTGCGTTGTTTAATAGAAGTTCAATGTACGCGCATCTTTGATACTCCGATTCTTATTTAATACTCATTTTTATATCAGTAATAACTAAATTATTACTCATCCGACCGTATTGAATTCACTATGACCATGAAAATATTGTGTTTTATAGTGTACACAATACATTATACATTTATACTTTATTATTATGTTTAATGCTTAAACGACGCGTTTTTTCTGGTCAACAATTGGTCCATATAAATTATAAGTGTACTCGTTTATTATTATCTGGTTGCGTTTGACTTACATTGATGGGATGATGCTCTAGACGAATGGCAGTTAATACAATTAATCGATATCTGTATACAATTTTCATGATAGTTTATAATAAGTATATATAATATCGGAGTATAATACTTAATGATCACTGATCAGATACTATTCTGTCAAATGACAAATAAAATACGTCTATCTCGCCCTCGCGTACCTATACAAAATATGTGGAACGGATTTAGTAGCAGTCATAATATTATATACCTAGTTTCATGCGTCATTTGACTGATAAGTAAATAATAGGTAGGTATATATAAACAGTGGGAGTCCAAAACGTAAGAAAATATTTTATCCATCGTCATAATATCGGTCCTTAAATATTATTAGTCTAATCAAAATATTTTATAATACGCATTTGCTACAGAAATAACATGAAATATTATATTTATATATTGTATACATTCGTGTATTTTTATATCGCTTATTGTTTGCACACATTTCATAGTTTACTTACGAAAAAAGAAGATGAGATATACTCATTACAATTTCATTTATTTGTTCTCTTAATTAAAATGATTTCGTTGATTATGAATCATCAAAGTAAATTAGGTATAGGTAAATTACATTTTTAAGGTTCTTATCGTGTATGACATAATATCTAAATCTTAAAATATAATTTAATGCATTAAAAAATGTATTAACGTTTAGTGTTTTATTTTAAATGCATGAATGTTCTTTTAAATAGTAACATATATTTTTAATTGATTATTGAGATTCAAAATAATATTTTAAACATTTTATCAAAACGTCCAGAAATGTATTTATTTTTTTTAAATATAAAATTAAAACAAAGACTAAGTTAATAAATATTAATCACATTCGAGGAAAAATTCCTTAATCTAGTTCCCTCAAAATTATAGCTCAGATATGGTGATACGAAAAACAATTGCTTTAATATAAGTAATAGGTAAATTAACATATCAATTGCCAATTGATATTCACTTACTGGACTGACGGAATTTGTGCGTTAAACTATAATATTAATAATTACCTATACTGCATAAGTTTAGAATTTTAGATATAATACTAATTTATAAATCTATCATCGAAAACCCGTTTTAAATGCTTCTTTTTCTGCAGGATATCCGAAGAATTTAAATTACAAACCCACGGTCTGGACTCTCCGCACCACCAGGGATTGTACGGGGGCCTAGGTCACTCGCCAACTTCCGGTTCGCCTTGCTCCGTGTACGCTTACCAGCCTTATCATCGGAACTACGGCGCGGGCCAGTTCCATCAAACGACGACTGCCGAAATTCAACAGCAGCAGCAGCAGATACCAGTGACCCAAATGGTAGTACCACCTCCGCTGTCAGCGCAAAAATCCTCGGATGACGCGGCAGCGACGTGTTGGTTGCAGCATAATGGCGGTGGATCGGCTTTCGAACACCATCTGCACCATCAACAGCAGCTGTCGTCAGCGTATCAATCGCATCACCAGCAGAGGCAACAGGACAACAACAGCATGACTGGAGGTGTCCAACAGCAGCAGCAGCAACAGCAGACGGCCAAGATGACACAGCAACAGCAACAGAAAGCGGTCAAGGAGCAGCGAATCCGAAGACCCATGAACGCGTTCATGGTATGGGCTAAGGTGGAGCGGAAAAAATTGGCTGACGAAAATCCTGACTTACACAACGCTGACCTTAGCAAGATGCTAGGTGAGTACCTATAAGTATTATATTATACGTAATGTAGTATTATTGTTACCTAAGTAGTATCGTTTACCTAAAGTTATATTCGGTGGCGCTGAAGTTGTAAAGATATAATTGTGGTCTTAAAAGACATTTATTGATATATTGAGTCATTTAGAAACATACATTATTTTTGTGATCCACTAATTTATACAAAAATATGCTGCTTTTAATTAATTAAAAATCAAAATTATATCCATTTAAAAACTATTAGTAATTAATTATTTTCCATAATATTTCAATTTTCAATCAAATTTTTAAACTTAATATGAAATAGATATGGATTATAGTCGTATTACAACTATTCAGTGTGTACAAAAACCTAAACTTTTTGAAGATAAAAAATCATGTTATAGTATAAAAGAGTTGGTAATATACTAATAGTTTTATTATCACTTCAGCTTAGTAAAATTTCACAGTTTTTTAGTCAGGTACTAATTATGTGCTATGCGCTAATGTTATCAATACATTGAATGACTTAGTAATCACTTAATTTTTAATATTTACTATTTATACATTTATATGATAACAGTGAGAATTAATTTGTGCATTTATTATTGTTATGAACTGCGTGTGAGTCTCTATATGTATTTATTATTTAGATACTTTGTGATGTTATAATGTACTCGTATACTGTGTTCTATTGGCACAATAAATAGCTACTATGTTAGGTATAATCGTGAATTCAAGTATAAACCTATAAATTTTACATTGACTGTATGATAGTAGTAGGTACTAGTAATATTTATGCCTTATGGCAGTACTTCATGACCCAAAATAATCGTCTTAATGTCTGGTGTTCATCTTATTATATAATATATTTGCCAGAGATGGATGTCTGGCAATTGCTATAAATTCTTTACCAATACGTTGTCAGGTTAAGTCAGTAAGTTATAGTTAAATGTATTATAATAAATTATATAGTATATATATTGTATCTTACTATTGTAATGAAACTTCGTCGGATATTAACTAGTTCCGCTGATCATAATATTATAAACGAGCGGGTTCTGTAACTATCTCGAATTCTTGTCATCATGATTTCGGCGTATATTTTTTTATTTTTATTTTATCGTTTGAGTTTTATCATATTATAAATATAAATATAAACATATACATACATCATAATATGATATGCCTGTCGTTCAGATAAACTAACGATTGTTTGCGGTACTTTGCATACGAAATTCAAGTCATATATCTTGGTATAACGAGAGGCTATTATTACTGCGTATATTTACAATAAATTAAAAAGTGAAAAGGTGCATGTTTAAGAGGTTCAGATGCGCGTATACAGGGTGTCTACTGTCTAGTAGATTTGACATATTTATATGCAATTTAAATGTACGTCGTCGAAAGGCTTTGTATAATATTTCAATTGCATCTGGTCATCATCAATCAACGGTATAGCGTAGTATATATATTTTATATTGGAAATTCGTTCACCTGCTTTGCGCAGCAGTAATTTTCTTCCTAAAATTAATTTCGCCCCCACACCGATATTTATAGGTATGTATCTAGTACCTATATATCTATAACTATTGCGACCCGTGTATTAATACCTACAACAGTTCTGTCGCAGCTGTCTTCGGCCTCGACGGCGCTATATATACGCGCACAGATAACATCGACGCACACCTGTTACGACATTTTTCGCCGGTGGATAACTATAGTACCTAGCCGGGTATAGCTGTACAGTATTGGACCGCGTGCTATACGCGCACAGCCAAAACAATAGGGTAGTAAGTCGCTGAAAGTTGCGCAAATAAAAAATAAAATAAATAATAACAAATACACAGACTAATACTATACGAGACACATCGCGCGCGCACACACACACTCACATATACACACGCAAGTGCGCGTGCGTATGCCTTTTATATAATATTATATAGTGCGTATTATACATTGTCTTTGTCCTCTATTTGTACAAAGGCGAGATGTATAGTATATATACATAATATATATTAGATATATATATAATATATATACGTAAATTTTTACCGAGCACCACGAGCTCGATATCTTATTGCGCGCGCCAAACCCGACTTATCCATATAAGGGCCAAATGCATTAACCTCGCGACGATGGCAGAACAAATAGAACAAAACGCCCCTGTTTGTATTTAAATCGTGTATCCCTTTTTCTTTATTATTATTATTATACTTTTTTATTTTTTTATTTTATTTAACTTCACTTATTATTTCTCTCTCGCTTGCCCTTCACTCGTGCCGAACTTCTCTTCAGCCTGCATCACCACAGTCTCATCTGTACCGTTTGTTCAAGCATAATATCATACACATATAGTTTTATATTATATTAGAACGCGTCGTAAGACGTCTTTGCCGATGTCAATTAAACGTGCGGAAATTCGCTTAGTCGCTGCAATATTATTTACATACACAGTCAAACCGGTTGGTTACCTTAGAAAATTCGATACATCGCACCGCCACCGACGTTGTCGTCCTCATATCTAATCCTTGCGCAAAGTCGTTTTTATATTTTAACGCAATACCTATTTGATCACCCTCGTGTGTTTATAAATAAATATATATATATATATATATATATATCACGCACGATGATAAAACACTGTTGTTTATGGGTATAATTATAAAAAATAAAAAAAAATGATAATAAAAACAAACACATTTTACGATTACACTCTGTGAACATAATGTACACAATCATTATTTTTTTATTGAAATACGTCTGATACAAGATACAAATGTATATTGTTCTGTTGCCTACCACGTGATTCAATTGGCAATTTTAAACTGTGTAATAACTGTGTTTTGTATTATATCAGCTAATACTTGTAACAATATAACTATCGAAAGTAAAACTATATTATTATTTCACGTCTGGTAAATATTCAGAATATTTTAAAAGCCAAACGGATGTCTAATAACACAATAGATGGTAATCAAAATATCTCTTGTTCGGCTGTGTTATTCGCTCGTTTCAATTAAAAACTATACACATTAATAATATTGATAAGATCTTCAACAGTAATCGTTGTCCGGTAACATAAAAAAACACACTACCGTATATAATAAAAAGTGATATATTCATTGATATATGTAGTATAATACGGTTTTATTTTTTATTCTGTCGTTTAAGCGATTGACTTTGAAATGTATCTGGTTATCGTGGAGTTCACTTTCAATATATTATGCGATTGGAAACTTGATTTTACAAAATAATATAATTATATATAAATCCCGGTTAATAATTTCATGCTTTTAAATAATAAACTGAGCAAAGCTTGTTTGCATATTGGTAAATTTAGTTTTGTGTTGTAGTGATAGTATACCATAAACATGAAGGATATAATATATGGGAAATAATATAATTTAAAAGGATTAAACGTAATTGGAATTCCACTACAATGAGTAACTTTACTTAGGTATGAATATGTGCTGACACTTTATAGTTTTTGCTAATCTTAATCCCAATGCCCAAGTAAATCAATCGTTTTGTACGTTAAAAAAGTATAGTAAATGATAATAGTGTAGTATACATAGTACTACTAAGTATAGTAATAGACTAACATGTCGAAGATTTTGATTTGAATAATCGTAACGCTCTTTGCATTTTGGAGTGATACTATATTATAATGTATTTCATGTATCTTAATTCGATTTCAAACACTAACCAGATGCAATATTGTCATGCATAATGTGGCGCGTTAACAGAATGAGGCATTTTTCATTAATTTTATTGTTTTATCCAACGAGATACAAACGCGATTCAACAAGTCCAGCGTCCTTGTATATATAGGTAACCGTTGACGCTGCCTGACAATGATCGTGTAATGACGTAACAATTATTGTTTTACTGTTTACAAGCAGACTATATACTAATATTAATATATAAAAAACGAATGTCCGAAATACACTGAAATGTCAATCCGCTCGTCAACAGTACCGCACAGTCTCGTGTTTTTGTTATTTTTTCCCCTTCTCTCTATCCTATGTAATCGTTTCGACCAAAATGTAATTTTTATTTTCGACACACGGTAAAAACTCGTAAAAAAACTCGTAATAATATTGTACCTATATATTCACGCGCTTAATACCTTCATATAATAATATATACCTATATTATATTATTTCGACCAGCTGTGAAAATAATAAATAAAAATTAAAAGAACGCTTTCTGAACTCGAGAGACGTTTAAAAGTCCACTGCCGCCACCACATAAAAAGATAAGAAGGCGGTTGAGCAGTTTCTTACCATATACATTATATAATATTATAGTGTATAATATAGGTATACAATACGCTACATATATAAGTACATAAATATATATACATATATATCGTAAGAGGCGTTGTCCGAAGCACTGCTACGATATATACACACCAACAGACCGATATTAGAGTTCATAGGTCATCTCAACTCGTTATGTTTTATGGTTCTGGTTACATTTTGCGTTTTTTTTTTTTTTTATCTTAATCCTTTTTCGCGCGCGCTCTGACCGCAACCCTGGTGATGTTATTAGATATATATATATATATATATATATATATATATATATGTTTATTTAAACGCGTATTTTGCTCTCACCCCCACTACCATCACTTGACGAACACATTTTTATACACACACACAAACAAGCTTTCCCGGAGTGGGTTTTTATTTATTTTTTTCAATTTGAATGTTCGCGCTTCTCACTTGACTACCAAACGCCGCCGCCACAGCCCCCCGTGGGGCATAAAGGATCTGTGGGCGCGGCTCCTGCTGGTGACAACAAGCCTTCCGGCATGTCCTTTATTTTATGGCTTGAAAATAGTTGTTATTTCTTTTTTTTTTCGGTATATTTTTTATTTCGTTTCATTTCTGTTTTTTCCCCAATATTATCGCAGTTCGAATCGGAACATATTTAACTGTCTTGAAAATCCGTCGTACATAAGTTCAGTCAACAACATAATAATTTTGTCCAAACTTGTTTTTCTCGATTTT